TTTTTGAATAAGAAAAAATGTAAAATTAATATCTTTATTTACACATTTTCTCACCTAAATACTCTCAATACTAATGAGACAAGATTTTAATTTCTAAATTTAATTTTATCTTATGGTGCAAAATGCGTTTATCTTATCTTGGGGAGGGGGGATGTAGCTATCTCAAACTACAAAGGAGAGTGTATGCAATTTTACCTTTTATAAAATATCATTGTGACAATTTTTTTCATTGTAAAACTGAAAATCTTTTCTTTTGCTTTGCTTCAAAGTTACAGTCAACTGCAATATATAAAATGACACTCTCATGGGGTGTGTTAATAACAAGGCGAGTTGGCTTGATTCTGTAAGGTTTATGTCATCAATTGGATGGGATACTACATCAGTTTGGAGATAAGTAATAATAGAGATGATGAAAATTTATTTTGAGCAACAACGTATTATTATACATAATAAAAATAACTAAATCTTGAAACTTTATTTAGTAAGTCACAATTCATATTCTAAATTCAATAGTGTACTAAATCTTAAACTATAACATATAAAAAGATACAGGAATTCCATCACACATAATGATCCAAGAGCTGAGTTTTTCATATAACTAATATAATATGGCATTGTGCATGATCCTAGTTTTTATGATTAAGTTAGAAAATTGTGCATCCAAAATTTACAGAAACGACTGCACTGTGATACCCATGTAAATAAAATCCATCAATAGTGCCCCTACAACTCAAGCACATCACTCAAAACAAGCTATAAGTTTACTAAGAGTTTTAGATCTCAAGCATGTAATGTTGTAAGATGCTTACATTTACGCTTTAGGGATGGATGTGTGAGCAAGAAACTTGAGTGAAATACCTTCATAAACGATTTCTTTATGATTCATTTTTCTCATGTGAACCCATTTTTCAAGAAATATTACTTGATATCAGTTTCTAAAAATTATTGCCTGCAAAATTCTAATTAGGAGTTAGCTATCCTCATTGGAGATTTTAAGCTTTTTAGGCTAAGTCTTATCCCTTCCATGTATACTAGACCCTAAATTATGCACGTGGTCCTTTTTTCAACCTTTTCTCTTTACCAAAGGCCTAGTTTGTGGTTCAATGGGTGCAAATAATTTAATCTCTTTTCTCTACAACACCACCCACAAAATCTTCACTAGGTTATTCAAATGCATCACTTTCATTTTCATAAATGGGTAACTCTCTTCTTTATTTTTTTTCAGTTAGGTTCTCAAATTTTTTATGAATCCATTTTTTCATGCACATATTGATTCACTATTTTTATCATTCAAAAATAATAATCACAAATTAGCTATATACAAGCATTGCATTAATCACATATATCAATTGTTAATAACATTAAGCATTAAACTATTAAATTACCACATGTACTATTGACCAAGATAACCACAAGCATCTCGAGCCATTAAAAATAAATTATAATAACTACATGTTTATTAAGAGGTTTAAAACTCAACCATATACCATTGTAAGATAAATACATTACTTAGATAAGAAGCTCAAGTGATATTTTCACATACGATCTCCCTATAATTCATTTTTCTCAACTGAACATATTTTTCAAGAAATATTACTTAATATGTCTCCAATAATTATCATTTGTAAAATTTTGATTATGAGTTTCGTATGAGATTCTAAGTTTCATAGGCCAAGTTTTCTCCTTTCATGCACTTTACCCTAGATCTTGGACTATGCACAGTCTTTCGTTTGACTTTTCTCTTTATCTAATGCTTAGTTTGTGGTACATTGGGTGCTAAAAGATCTACTAGTGCAGCAGAAAAAGATACAATCCTATAATATTATAGTTTTATAATAATATTTTATAATTATATAATATCTATAAAATTATTTAATTTGAGACACTTTTCTTACCTAAAAATATTTAAAAAGGATAAAGGTGGATGAAAGTGAGGAACATGGAAGAACTTTCTTATTTGAGTAAAATAACATATTTTATTTATAAGACTCTTGGTTTTGTAATCTTTATTTATAAATAAATTGTAAAAGTAAATTATAATACAATTTAACATATAAATTTACTAAAATATATTTAA